GGCTGCCAAGCTCGACGGGCCGGGCCGGCTGGAACGCTCGGGCGGCCGGCGGCAAGTTGGCGGCGGGCCTCGGCGGTCGCCGGGCGGGGCCCTGCAGTTCTGCCAAGGTCTCCGCCGTGCCCGGCGCCAGCCCGCGCGAGGCGAGAAGCTGTCGCGCCTTGCTGTGGCCCCCTGCTCTGACCAGCGCCACCGCGTCTCCCAGGAGGCGCTGGCGCCTCGCCTCGGCGCCCCCCGCGCTGCGGGGCCCTCCCGGGGGTCGCTGCCCTTGCGGGCTTCGGGCCAGCAGCGCCTCCCAGCAGCCATCCTCGAACAGTTCCAGTCGCGCTTCAAGCTCTCGCCGCCCTGGCGCCCCAGTGCTCGCGGCCCGTCGCAGCAGCCTGCGCCACGTGAGGACCAGGAGCTTCAACGCCCTCTCCCTCGGCACCCCGTCGTCGTCAGAAGGGCGTCCGCGCGCAAGACCTCTTCGAGGACCGCGCGGTAGAGCTGGCGGAGGCGGCCGCGGAGGAAGGCCGGCGGTGCCCGGACGCACGCCACCCGGCGGCGGAGTTCGGCTTCCAGGTCGACGCTGTCAAGGAGCACCCAGGCGGCGTCAGTGAAGGCCGAGCGGGCCTGGCGTTGTCGACGCGCCGCGCCGCGCCGCCACCTCTGCGCGGCTGGGCCTGCGCTGGTGACGCGTCGTCGGCCCTGTCGGAGCCGCCCTGGCTGTTGCCGCTCTGCTCGTCGTCGCTGTCGCTGCGGCTGGTGCTGCTGCTGCCGCTGCTGCTCGGGCTTCCTCGTCCTCCTCCCGCTCTTCCTCCTCTGGCGCCTCTGCCTCTGCCTCCTGTCTTTCCTCTGCCGCCTCGTCCTGTTCTGCCGCCGCTGGCGTTGCCCAGGCTTCTGCCTTCTCCTGCAATCCCTCCGCTGGCGTCGTCACTGGGCTGAGGTGCTGGCGGGCGCGGCGCGACTGCGGCCCGCCTGGCCGGGTCGCGAAGCTCGCCCGCGCGCTGGTCGACCCCCCGCGCCAGCACGACTCCTCCGAAAAGCTCGAGCAAGAGGTCTTGGACGAGGTTGTCGACGTGGCCGGCGCTGTCCGCCAGCGCTCTTACCACGGGCGGCAGGTGCACATGTCCAGGGCGCGCTCCGCCCCCAGCAGCGATCGCGGCATATACCGCCCCTGGGCTGGCCCCTGCGAATTCCAGCCCTTGGGCGAGAGTCTCGGCTGGCACGGGGCCCGCTCCCTGCAAGGCCTCAACTGTCGGCTGCCACCAATCGTGCGTGAGCGGGTGCGTGCTCCATCGCGCCGCCTCCTCTTGGTCGTCGTTGGTGTAGTCGGGGATCTCCGTCATGGTGGGCAGGAGCGGCGGCGGCTCGTAGGCGACCGCAGGTGGCGCGCAGGATTTGGGTCTATACTCAGGTTGCGCCCCTTCCGCGGGCGCAGCTGCGGCACTCCCGGGGTCGACACCGAGCCAGGAGTTCGCGGGGGCCGCTGCCTCCAGCGGCGCGCGCGCTTCGCCGGGGGCCCCGCCCAGGAAGGCGGCCGCTTAGCGCGCCGCAATGCCGCGTAGGACGTCGACGCGTAGCGCCCCGGTCCCGGCGCCCCAGACCTCAAGCCATTCGCCCCCCACCCGGACGATCAGAGTCCGTCCGTCCTGGCCGCGGGATGGGTCCAAAGATTGCTCCGTCCAGGGGCTGCGTGGGCAGGGGCTCGGTGCTCTGCGCCGATCTGAACCACCTTGTTCGAGGGAGGGCGTCGCCCCTGACAACCACGTAGTCGCCGCCCTGGATGCTCCGGCGGTCCGTCGCGATTGGGCGCGCGGGCCCCTGGGGGGGCTCGTCTGGGACGCGCCCTTGCCGTCGCTCGCGACGGTTGGGGTCTTCGTGCTCGGGGGGGGGATCAGGAGTTGCGCTGGCGGCCGGTGGCGCCCCAAAAGCCTCGGTCGCCGTGGGTCGCGCAGCGGGAGAAGCGGAGGTTGGATCTCTGCCCCGCGGCGTAGGCGGGAGTGAGTCGGGGAGCGTCAGGCGTCGTTCCTTGGTGGGTCTTGGGCTGTCTGCTTGGACAGCGGCGTGGTCGCGGCGCCCTTCCGCGCGGGGGCGGCTGTCTTGCTGTGGCCCGCCGCTGGACACGCGTTCCGGGGCTGGCGGGGCTGCCGCGCTGGTCTCTGGGACCGCGAGCTTGGACCCGCTTCTGCATGTCCCTCCGTCGCCCTGGCCCCTGATCTGTGCCGCGACCTTTACGTGCGCATTCATGGCCGTCATCTGCCTCGCCCAGGCGTTGCGCTGCTGCTCGTTCTTTGGCGGGAGCGGCAGCGGGCTGCGAAGGCGCTCCTGGTGGACGCGCGCCTCCTCGTCCCAGGCCGCGGCCCGCCGTTGCACTTCCTCCTGGCTGGGGCGCGCTGCGCTTCCTGTCGGGGCAGCGGGGATGCCTGGTAGCGCGGGGAGGGGTCTGGCGCCTGGGCTGGGGCATTGCTGCTTGTTGTCGCAGTTGTGCTGGTCGCCGCGCTGCCCCTGGTCGCCGTCGTGGCGGTGGTGGCGGTGGTGCTGGTCGCCGTGCTGGTGGTGGTGGCGTTGCTGGTCGGAGTCGTAGTGGTTGTGGCGGTGGTGGTGGCGGTGGTGGTGGCGGTGCTGCTGCTGCTGCTACTGCTGCTTGTTGTTGCCGCCGCTGTAGTTGTAGTGGTTGTCGTGGTGCTGCTGGTCGCCGTGTTGCCCCTGGTCGCCGTCGTGGTGGTGGTGGTGCTGGTCGCCGTGCTGGTGGTGGTGGCGCTGCTGGTCGTGGGTGGGGTGGTGGTTATGTTGCAGCTGCTGCTGCTGCTTGTTGTCGCAGTTGTGGTAGTGGTTGTCATGGTGCTGCTGGTCGCATTGCTGCCCCGGGTCTCCATCGTGGTGGTGGTGATGCTGGTCGCCTTGCTGGTGGTGGTGGCGCTGCTGGTCGTTGTCGTAATGGTGGTGGTGGTGGTGGTACTGCTGCTGCTTGTGTTCACTGTAGTGGTAGTGGTTGTCGTGGTGCTGCTGGTCGCCGTGCTGCCCCTGGACGCTGTCTTGGTGGTGGTGGTGCTGGTCGCCGCGCTGGTGGTGGTGGCGCTGCTGGACGTAGTGGTGGTGGTAGTAGTGGTGCTGCTGCTGCTAATGCTGCTGCTGCTGCTGCTTGTTGTCGCAGTTGTGGTAGTGGTTGTCGTGGTGCTGCTGGTCGCCGTGCTGCCCCGGGTCGCCGTCGCGGTGGTGGTGGTGTCGGTCGCCGTGCTGGTGGTGGTGGCGCTGCTGGTCATAGGCGTGGTAGTAGTGGCGCTGCTGCTGTTGCTGCTTGTTGTCGCAGTCGTGGGAGTGGTTGTCACGGTGCTGCTGGTCGCCGGGCTGCCCCTGGTCGCCGTCGTGGTGGTGGTGGTGCTGGTCACCGTGCTGGTGGTGGTGGCGCTGCTGTTCGTAGTCGTAGTGCTGGTTGTGCTGCTGCTGCTGCTGCCGCTGCCGCTGCTTGTTGTCGCAGTTGTGGTCGTGGTTTTCGTGGTGCTGCTGGTCGCCGTGCAGACCCTGGTCGCCGTCGTGGTGGTGGTGGTGCTGGTCGCCGTGCTGGCGGTGGTGGTATCCGTGCTGGTGGTGGTGGTGCTGGTCGCCGTGCTGGAAGCCGGGCTGAGCTCGGAGCCTTGAGCCCCTCTTCGGGCGCGGCCGGCTTGGCGTAGTCGTGGTGCTTGTGGTCGCCGTCGTGTTGGCGGCGCTGGTGGTGCTGCTAGTCCCCGTCGTCGCGCCTGTGCTGGTGGTGGTCGTCGTTGTGTTACCGGTGGTGGTGGTGCTGGTCGCCGTCGTGGTGGTGTTGCTGGTCGCCGTCGCGGTGGTGCTGCTGGTCGCCATCGTGGTGGGGGTGCTGCTGGTTCCCGTCGCAGTGGTCGCCCTCGCCGTGGTGGAGGTGCTGCGGGTCGCCGCCGTCGCGGTGGCGCTGTTGGTCGTCGTCGTGGTGCGCGGGGCTGCCGTCGTAGTGGCGCTGGTGGAGGTGCTGCTGTTAGTCGCCTTCGCCGTGGTGGTGGTGCTGGTCGTGGTTGCGGTGGTGGTGGTGGCGCTGCTGGTGCTGCTGGTCACCGTCGTGGTGGTGTTGCTGCTGGTCGCTGTCGTGGTGGTCGCTGTCGTGGTAGTGGCGCTGGAGTGGCGCCGCTAAGCGCAGTCGTCGTGGTTTTGGTGCTGGTGGTCGTGGTGGCGGCGATTGTGCTGGTGGTGCTGGTCGCCGTCGTGGCGGTGGTGGTTCTGCTGGTAGTGCTGCTGGGCGCGGTGGTTGTGGTGGTGCTGCAGGTCACCGTCGTCGTTGTCATGGCCGCCTTGGTGGTGCTACTGCTGGACGTAGTCTTTGTGCTGCTGGTTGCAGTCGTGGCCGTGGTGCTGCCAGTCGCCATGGTGGTGGTGGCGCTGGTGGTCGTTGTGGTGGCGGTGCTGCTGGTGGCGCTGCTGGCGGTCGTCGTCGTGGTGGTTGCCGTCGTGGTGGTTGTCGTCGTCGTGGTGGTTGCCGTCGTGCTGGTCTCTGTCGTGGTGGTCGTGGTAGTGGCGCGGGTGGTGGTGCTGCTTGTCGCAGTCGTCGTGGCGGCGGTGATGGTGCTGGTCGTCGCAGCGCCGGTGCTAGTGTTAGTGCTGGTCGCCGTCGTGGTGGTGCCGTTTTTGCCGGTAATGCTGCTGGTCGTCGTGGCGGTGGTGCTGCTAGTCGCCGTCGTCGTGGTCGTGGTCGCCGTGGTGTTGCAGCGGCTGGTCGTAGTCGTTGTGCTGCTGTTTGCAGTCGTGGTGGCGGTGCTGCTGCTGGTCGCCTTGGTGGTGGTGTTGTTGGTCGTCGTCGTCGTGGTAGTGGTGGCGGTGTTGGCGGTGTCGCCGCTGGTGCTCGTCGTCGCGGTGCTGCTGCTGGTCGTAGTGGTGGTGGTGGTAGTGGTGGCAGTGGTGGTCGCCTTGCCGGTCGTCGTCGCCGCCGTGGTGGTGGTGGTGGCGGTATTGGTGGCGGTGCTGTTGCAGGTCAATCACGGTGACTATGCTGCTGGGGCCGGTCTTGTTCCCCTCAGCGGTGCCGCCGGTGTCCGCCGCGCTGCTCTCGGCGGTATTGTTGGACCCCTTCATGCTGCTCGCGGTGCTGCTGCTGGGGCCCGTCGCGTTGATCGCGGTGCCGCTGCTGCCCGGGTCCATGGTGCTGCTTTCGGCGGCGTTGCCGGAGCCCGTCTTGCTGCTCTCGGCGGCTCCCGTCGTACTGCTCCCGGCGCTGCTGCTGCTGGAGCCCGTCGCGTTGCTCCCGGCGCCGACGATGCTGGGGTTCGCCCCTCTGATCGCGGCGGCGCCGCCGGATTTCCTCGCGCTGGTCTCGGCGGTGTTACTGGATACCGTATTGGTGCTCTCGGCGGTGCAGCTGGAACCCGTCGCAGCCCCCATTTCGGAGCACCTCGCGGCCCGTGCGCGAGCGGGCGGGGCGCCCCTGAGGCCGCTGCGCGCTCCATGTGGTTTTGAATGTATAAGGCTCACGTGCTGCTGATTCACATCGCGCAGCAAATTAGAGAAAGCGTTGTCGCGCTCGTCCAGATCGATCCTGTTCGGGCGCCTGCGACGAGGATGCGTCGCGGACGCGCGCGTGGAGTGCGCCGCGCGCGCGCGCCTCTCGCTGCGTAGCGCGCGCGACGCCGAGCGATGCTGCGCATGGTCGTCGTCCTCCTAGTCCTCGTCCTTCGCCTCGCCCCCCCTGCGTGCTCGTATTATTCGTCGCGGTTGTCGTCGCCCGCGCCCCCCCCGCCCCCCACTTCAGAGCGCCTCGTGGCCCCTGTTCGAGCGGGCAGGGCGCCCGCTGAGGCAGCCGTGCATTCTATTTGACTTCGAAAGTATAAGGCTCACCTGCTGCAGTTTTGCATTGCGCAGTTGATGATCGATCTCTTGGTCGTGCTCGTCCAGATCGTGCCCCCGCTTGCCCCCCCTTCTGTCCTCTCCCTCTCCTCTGCATGCCCCCCCGCTCCCCCCTTCGTTCCACGCACGTCGCCCCCCCCCCCCCCCTCTTGCATTTCGCGCTCTTGTTTGGGGGGTGAAGACACAGGAAGGCCCCCGCCCATGATGCCACAGGCCCCCTTGGAACAGCTACGCCGATTGGTGCGCCGTCGCGATGCGGGCGCATTCCTGCCGAGAGAGGCCGAAGCGAGGACATCCTCAAACATCTGGTACTCTGGCCCGTTCCGCCTGGGACATGCTCATTATTCTCGTTTCCGAGTTGGCGGGGCTTGGGAGGATCGCTTGGGACTTCCTGGAGGTTCTTCAACATTCTAGGCTCCGCGGCGCCGTTCGCCAGGTCGCCCGGCCGCCTCGCTTGAATTCCGCAGGTCAGAGCTCCGAGCTGCCGCGCGAGAGGTGTTTCGACTTGTTTCGACAATCAAGAGCAGGAGGACGATAATTGGGGGACGCGCGAATAGATTGAGGATTCAACCTGGTTCTAAAAATGCCATTTGAAGATTATGGGATCCGTTTACACTTTACAGAGTGGGTGCTCCAACGACCGCCAGGACGATGTTGATGGCGCCGACGACGACGATGACGACGACGATGAGCATAGCAGAAGCAGGAGGATGGGAGGAGGAGGAGGCGGAGGATGAGGAGGGGGGAGGAGGAGGAGGAAGAGGAGGAGGAAGAGGAGGAGGTCCGTCGCCATTTTGGCTTGAGTCCGTAGTGCTTGCTCGAGGACACGAGTTTTCTTCGGCTGGGGATTCGCGGCCCCACCAGTTTCAACTTCTTCGAGACTGCATTGAGGTCAGACCTCATCGCCTCTGCGCAACCACGGCGTGCGTCGCACTTTCTTCTCTTTGTGCACGATGGCAGTGTGCCGGCAGACCTGGTGCTGTTCGAACAAGCGTTGTAAGTTCAAGTTCAACCATGAGTGGCGCGACAGTTGCTTTCGTTGTGCCACGGCGAAAGGTGGCCCCAGTGAACGTGAGTTTCAACCTCGCGGCGCCTTGGCTCGCGGCGTCCCGCCCTCAGTCCGCGATCCCAAACCCAAGGGTCTTCCGCCGCTCACAGACGCGCAGTTTCAAGCCTGTGCAGCCATGGACCACAGCGCGTATGCGGCAGTGTCAAACACCCTCTCGCAGTCGCCAAGCGACCGCATCCAGCATCTACGCAGTCTCCGCTCTGGGGGCCCGCATTGGGTCTCGCGCACGGCTCAGAGGGAGAGTGGTCAGCTCACGGATAAACTCGGCAAGATGCAGAAGAAGTACGACAAATCCATGGAGAACTTCAGCCGCGCTGCCTGCTGGGCGGCCGCGGTTGGGGCCGAGCTCGAGGAGCTCCAGAAGCAGCAAAGGGGGGCAGCCGCGCGTGGCGCGGCGGCCCTCGCCCAGATGGGCGGCACCACCGCCGCGGCCGCACCGGGCACGCCGTCTGCGGGCATGGACCAGCGCGCGCTGCTGCTCCAGCGCGCACGAGACCTTGGCGACGCTGAGCTCGAGAGCAAGCTCGCTGCGATGGCCGCTGACCTGGCGCGGGCCCAGCAGGCGCTGCAGGCCAAGGCCGCGCAGGCCCACGGGCAAGGCCCCGCCGCGCATGCGGGCCCCGCCGCGGGAGGGGCCGCGCCAGCGGGCCCCGCGGCCGCAGGCCCCCCTTCGGGATGCGACCTGGCGGCAGGGGGGCCTGGCCCAGGGCAGTGCGCCCCGCTTCCTGCAACTCTCGCTGCTGATCCTGATGCTGATGAGCGCGCCCGTCGCTGGGCAGCCAAAAATGAGGCTAAGCTGCTCGAAGCACGTGCCAGTGTCGTCGGCGATGATGACGACATGGGCCTCGACGATGGCGCCAAGCGGGTTGCCAAGCAGCGAGCCATCCTGCCGGTCGGGCAGGCGCTCAAGAAGCCCCGCGCCACCCCGCAGCATGTACCAGACACGTCGGGGTAACCCGCAGCGCAGACCCTCACCATCATCACGGCGAATGTCACAAGTACGCCAGCGCTTGAGGTGCTCAAGGAATCCAGCGAGTGGAATGATTGTGGCTTGGCCATTGTCCATGAGCACAAAGTGCCCTTTTGGCAACGCGACGGACAGGAGCAGGCTCTGCGCAGAGCAGGTTGGAAGGCAGCCTTCAATCCAGCAGTTCGCGCAGGGGACTCAGCTGCAGCAGAAGACAGTCTGGCTGGCCTGTCAGGTGGCACCATGATCTCAGCCATGGGCCCACAGAAGGAATGTTGGTGGGCACCATGTATCTGCATGACTCCGAGGACCTCAGCGAGCGCAACTGGCAGATCATTTGCTCCATGGGTCGGGCGATCAAGCGCGCAGGCATGCCTTTCCTCGTCAGCGATGACTGCTGGCAGGCTGCGCCGGAGGAGCTCGCAGAGAGCGGCTCGGTGGCAGGCAACGGCGACGTCGTCGTGGCGCCGAAGGTTGGCACAGTCAGGCCGTCTGAGAGGGTCATTGACTATTTCGTCATGTCTCCGTTTCTAGCTGCAGGCGCCAAGATCGACGCGTTGGATCACATTGCCATCAGCCCACACCGAGCCGTGCGTGTCAGGCTGCGGGCCCCGCGGCGACCTCCAGAAGTGAGAGCAGTCGTTCAGCCTCGGAAGTTTCCAGCAACGCCCCCAATCGGCTGTTGCAGGCAGTTTGAAGAGCCGAACTGGGAGCAGTTCACCAGTGACATGCAGCAGACTGACACTACGGTTGATCAAGCATGGTCGGCGTTCGCTGCAGCTGCTGAAGGTAAAGGGGCACATGCTTTCGATGTTGAGCCAGACCAGGCCGCTAAATTTCGAGGGCGCGGAGATGCACCTCACATGAAGATGATTCGCCTTCCGCGCCCTTGTTCTGTGCCCTTTCCGCAGCTCAGTGCCGACGCAGTACGGTGGAAAGGTTCGGTTCAGGCCCTCATTGATTTCCAGAACATCAAGGGGGGCTGGGATGCCGTTTCTCGTCGGCGCCGCCCGCCCCGCCATGGCCGCTCTGCCTCAGCACCACGGCAGTGCAAGAGAGCAGCTAGTTGTGCCAAGCTCGCGCCGCAGAGCCCCCCTTCTCACCTCCCGAAGTTGAGGTTTTTGTTTTTAAAAGCTTTCTTGCAAGAGCAGGCTGGCGCAGCAGTCAGAGCCAGCCAGCGAGCCAAGGAGCGGGGGTGGGAGGCTTGGGTGGACAAGCACGGCACTGAGCAAGGCGTTTCAGCCCTTTTCCGTTTTTCGAAGGTGCCGACTGGATGGACTCCTGACGACGCCACAGTGGATCATGTCCCGTTAGGTTTGGCAGAGCAAATTGAGAAGTTGCGTGTGGAGTGGGAAGCGTGGTGGCGTGTCTCTGACAGCCACCCGCAGTTAGAGTGGCCCGACCTCTCCTGCATTGAGCCCCCCCCCGGCCTACTGCGCCTGAGCTAGCTCAAGTCCTTCAGACCTACAAGCCCAGTACAGACCAGGGATATGATTGTGTGAACCCCAGGCAATTTGTTCAGCTAAGGCCCGAGGGTCTAGACACGCTCCGCGAGTTGCTGCAGTTGGTTGAAGTAAAGCTAGAGTTCCCTACCGCGTGGGTCAAAGTTTTCTTGCGTCCCCCCAGAAAGTCCGAGATCCACGATTGGCAGAGAACGTGGGGAAGGACAACTCTCAACCGAAACAATACGGCCGTGCCTGAGGCACGCTCGAATTATTCGAATCGCAACTCTGAGCGTTGTGTTGCCTCGCGTCGCGTCTGCCGCTCCAATTTTGTGGGGGCGGGGGAGCAGGCAACTGGCGCGTGCGCATGGGCCCGCCGGGCGAGCCTGGATGCCCGCGGCGGGCCGCCAAAAAACTGCACCAAGTTGTGCCCTGATGGGGCCGAGCGGTGCTCGGTAACAAACTCAGGATGGTGCGCATTGGCCTCTCTGCAAATCTTGGGCAGGCGAGTCCATGGGATCGCAGATCTGAGCGTTCCAACCTGTCCGAAGGATGGCCCGAAAGAGGCCTTTCCTTCCAGCGAAAAGCTCTGGGAACAACGGCCGCTGAGACTGGGCTGGCTCCAGGGATCTCACGCGAGACCGGGGCCCCCGCGCCTGAAAACGAAGATGCCCGCGCACCCCTCCCTCATAACAATCTTCTGCGCGGCCGCCGGGCCCGCAGGGCCTGCGGGGCCCGCCAGGCCCCCCGGGCCCGCCATCGGGGCCCGCCGGGCTCGCTGGGCCCGCTGGGTTCGCCGGGCCTGCCAGGCCCGCCGGGTCCGCCGGGCCCGCCGGGCCCGCTGGGCCGGCCGGGCCCGCCAGGCTCGCCAACCTCGCCGGGCCCGCCGGCCTCGCCAGGCTCGCCTGGCCCGCCGGCCTCACCCGGCTCGCTGGGCCCCTCTTCCTCCTTCTCCTCCTCCTCCTCCTCCTCCAGTTCCTCCTCCTCTTCCTTCCCTTCCTTCTCGTCGTCGTCGTCCTCCTCCTACTCCTCCTCCTTCTCCTCCCCCTTTTCCCCCCTCGACCTCCTCCTTCTCGTCCTCGTCGTTGTCGTCGTCGTCGTCGTCGTCGTCGTCCTCCTCCTCCTCCTCCGCCTCCTCCTCCT